CGAAGCTGGAATTAGAAGAGCAACGCTGACAAGCCATTCATTCATTTGCTTTTATTTTGGGGAAATAATGTAGATAAAGAGGAAGAGGAGACGGACTGCCTCACATCTCAACAAGTAATTTGTGATCTTCACATCGGACAAATCAAATTTACAAATTACTTTCCCACCTACTGGACCGAGTGGCCAAAACCAAAACTGATAGATACACAGGCACTCTCCGCGGATTTCGGAGAATGAAGGTTCACTAAAAACTCACTGAACAGACAGGTGTTTAAAGAGAGACGCTCACGGAGAGAATTGGACCTGGGATTCGGCTGGGTTTGCTTTTCCGCAAGGTTGTAACTTCACCTCTTTTGTTCGTTTCTAAGCCGAAGCTTTGATACCGAGCTTAGACTGCACAGCCTGGCCCCCAGCCCGAACCCTGCCTTAGCTGTTCCTTCCCTTCCGATCCTCCAGCGCCCAGCTTCCTGGAACCAAGCGGGTTTCTTTAATAAATACACAAAGGGAGGTGAGAAGTGGAAAGAACAGCTTCGTAACAACTGAAAGATAAGAACCGCATCCTTTGAGAAGGAGGGGGATGGGAACAAAGGGGAAATAGTTTTTGCTCTTGTTATATATATGTGTGTATATATATATGTGATGTATATATTTTAAAGTTCTGTTTCTTGGACGCTAAAACGAGATGCTCAGTTTAACCAACAGCAACTAAAAACTTTTTAAGGGGTCCCTGGAACGGACCCGACTATGTACAGCATTCCCGCCAAGGCGGAAGCTTGAATCAGTCCAGCGCAGGTCAGGGAAGAAGGCCAGGGCACCCTCCTCCCGCAGGCCTGGCCCAGCGCTCGTTTCCACTGGGGGTGGAAACGCTGGCCGCTCTGGCCTGCAGCCGGGGAGCTGGGTGGAGGGCAGCTGGAGGGGCGACAGTCTGCTAGGAGGAACAGTGGTGGGTTTGATTTGGAGGAGTGTGGATTGGGCTCCACACTCGTGTAACGGTAGGTACACGCCCGTTAGTGACTTCAGTGTCCAGAAATAATAAATAAGACTGTTGAGCTCAAAACAGACAGGGTCAGAGCGGGAGAGCCTCCCAAGGCTCCGGGTGCGGAAGAGCTGTCCAGAAAGACTGGAAAGGGGTGGCGCAGGAGTCGAGAGGGAGAGCACACTGCTACCCTGGGAGGGAACTGAGGCCAAGCAGAAGCACCGGGCCCCACCTCCGAGGAGAGGGTCTGCACCCTCCACCCCCAGGCAAGTGGCACAAAGATGGGAGCGGCAGTGCAGGCAGTGGCCATCTTCTGGGGGGAGCGAAAATTCAGTTTTGGAAAAGCCAAGGCAAAGGCGAGCGGTGCAGCAGCAGCAACTGGGTGGGGACCTCGGAGGGCGCAGGTAGTTGCGTTTCTTCTCCACTTCCTCACTCCTGGGCTCACAAGACCTGGAACCGCCACGAGGCTTGGTCCTTATAGTCCAGACAGTCGGGAGAGTTGAAGTTGAGTTTCCAGGCAGAGGAGGCAGCGGCAGCCGCAGCGGCAGGCTCCTTGTAATCCAAGCAGTCGGCAGAGTTGAAGGCGAGCCCGGAGCCACCGTAACCTTGGTGGTGGTGGTGGTGATGGTGGTGGTGGTGGTGGCCTGAGGACTGGCTCAGCGGGTGGTGTGCGTGCGGGTGGTGGTGGTGGTGGCCCGCCATGGAGGAGGGCGCCATGGGGCTAAGCTGGTGCGGGTGGTGATGAGAGTGCATGGGCGCCAGGTAGGAGCTGCAGTCCACACCGCCGAAGTAGGAGGAGGAGGGCGCGGGGTAGCCCTGGCCGTAGCTTCCACCCTGGCCGTAGGACATGGGGTAGGAGGCCGCCGCGGAGGCGGCGCCCGCGGCCACCGAGCGCTGCATACACGAGGCGTTGCTCGGCGCGCCCAGGGGCTCTGGCACCGAGACAGACGCGGGCGCCGAGCCGGGAGAGATGGAGGCCGGGCTCCAGATGGACGACGCGGTGGGTGTGCTCAGAGAGGACGCGGCGGCCACCGGGTTCCCGCCCAGGCCCGCCGCCGCCGGGTTGGCCGAGGCGCTGGACGCCGAGCTGGACGAGGACGCGGAGCTGGACACGGCGGGCGGCGTGAACTGGCCGCTGCTCTCGGAGCCCGAGCTCTCGCGCACCGGGGACGACTTCTTCTTGACCGGCCGGCTCTTCGCGCCGCTCCCGCTCTGCTGCTGCTGGCGGCACTTGGCGCGGCGGTTCTTGAACCAGACCTGCGGCAAGCGGGGACGGCAGAGGGGGTCAGGGCCGGGGCTCGCGGCGCCTCCGCCCCGCGGCCTCACACCCCGCCCAGGAGCTCTGGACCTCTCAATCCCAGCCTCCTCCCCTCCCAGGCCGCGGCCCTGCCAGGCCCTGTCCCCTCCCCCGCACGTGCTGGTCCCCTGCGCCCTCCCCCCTGCTGCGCAAAGCCCCCCGTCAGCCTCCTCCGCAGGAGGGATGCGCACCTCCCCACGCCCAGCCAACGCTGCCCGAGGGCGGAACGTTTGCGCCCGTCCAGCCAGAAGTTCAGCCATCTCTAGGCTGCCGCGGTGGGCTGCTTCCCCGCAGCCCCGTTTTAGTTTGGAGGCCCTGTTTTCCAAGAACAGAGCTCAGGAAACGGCGGACAGGCACACAAGAGCGTGGTGTGGGGCAGTCACCAGGCCCGGGCCCGAGGGCTTTCACCACGTCGGCTCCTGGAGACTGGAGTTGGGCAGGGCAAATGTTTGGGTGCGAACAGAAGCAAGGCGGGAGGCTGACGGGAGAGCGCTCTAGAACTGGGGTTTCCCCGAGCAGGAAGCCTGGGTGAGATTTCCTTGGGCCTTTTGGCTCCAGGTGGGGTACCATGGGCCGGCAAGTCATAAATCCCTACTCCTTTTGGAGGAGGCTCGGGCGCAGGACATTGCTTTCCCCGTCCCTTCTCGAGCCTTGGGGAAAGGAGGCGACACAAAAGACCGCGAGGAAGAGCTGCGCTAACTCGGAACTCTATTTTCTGGACCGTTTCGTCTCAGAAACGGTAAAGCCAGCATCTGGATTGGCACTGGGCGTCCACTCGGCTTGCAGGAAGCGCCTAAGCAGAGGCTCCCGCGGAGCGTGCTCCCAGGCAGGAAGCACTAGGACGCAGCCAAGTTCCATCTTGCACTTTTAGAATCCCCGGGACTCAGGGCAAGGGTGCGAAAGACAAGGGCCGACGCAGAGCTGAGGCCTCAGTGGGGAACTGCCAAATTCTGTAGTAGCCAAAGAAGCAGGACCATTATCGAACCCTCAGAGAAAGCTGCATCGGGAACACGGATTGATGCCCCAAGCCAAAAAACCAAACAAACAAAAAGCCCGACTTTCAATATTGAAAGCGCCCTGGTGACAAAGATGGATGCTGGGCCCTAAGAGTACCGGCTGGCCGTTACCTGACTGGCGCCAGCACTAGGGGGAGTTGGAGAGGGGCTTGTCCAGTCGGTGAGCGGCCCGATGCCAGGCCGCCGGGCCAGATCGGCGCCCCGGCCCAGCCCCCGGCCCAGCCCCGGCCCCGGAGCGCGCACCTGGACTCTGGACTCCGGCAGGTTGATCTTGAGCGCCACCTCCTCGCGCATGAAGATGTCGGGGTAGCGAGTCTTGGCGAACAGCGCCTCGAGCACGTCCAGCTGCGAGCGCGTGAAGGTGGTGCGCTCCCGTCGCTGCTTCCGCGGGGTGGCTGCGGGGGACACGGAGTCAGGTCCACCTGGGGTCGGGCGGGCCGCGAGGACTGGCGCTGGGGGCCACACGCAACCTCGCGGGACGAGAAGGCCCGGGCCCAGGCCACCGCAGCCGCCCCCGGCCACAGGTGGGACAGGGCGGGGCGCTCACTCCGGGCCCCAGCTCCGAACAGCAGGCCTGCAGCCTCCGGGCCTCGCGGAGACGAACAAGGCCTCCCCGCCCGGCTCCCCAGGCCCACACGCTTGCTAGCTGAGGTAGTTAGAACGGAGGTGGGCAGGAACGGGACCCGGGAGCACTCCCAGGCGAGTGAACTCAAGGGCGGGAGCAGGGCCTAGAGGAAACTCCGGGCTGGGCTGGGCTGGGCGTCCAGCGCCCGGGAGAGCGGGTGGGCCGCGGCTCTGGCGGGACGAAAGCCTGGCCGTTTAGGTCAGGGCCTGCCGAGGGCGCGGAGTGCTGGGCCCGGGAGGGGGTCGTTTAGAGAGAGGAGAAGGAAAGGGAGCCGGGGGGTGCGCCGGTGGCCGGGCTCGCTCCCCGCGCGGGGGCCGCGACGGGAGCCGGGCTGCGGGCACCGCGGCCGCCAAAGTCGTTGCGGCCTCCACGCCGCCGAGGCGGGCCTGGGCTCAGCCCTGGGAGCCGGGCCCGGCAACAGGCGGCCACGGCCCTCGGCCTGGGTCCCCCGGGGTCTGCGGAGGCGCGGGGCGGGGCGGGGCCCACTGCTCACCAGGGTAGCCCACGGAGGGGTGCAGGAGGTCCATGGCAGGGCCGGCCAGGCCCAGCCCGTTCATGCCGTACGGGGGTTGTTTGAGGTAAGACATCATGCTAACAGCCGGGCGGAGGCGCCTGAGGCCGGAGCAGGTCAGGGCTCCCGCCGCGAAGTCCTTCACGCGTTGGCTCCTGGGGGCCTGGCCTGCGGAGACAGCAGACGCACGGACACTGCAGGCCCAGTCGCCTCGGCTTCCCGCCTGCGGTCCCCGAAGGGGGAGAGGGGCGCTGGGTGGGACCGCACAGCAGGCGCCCGAGAGATCTCTCCCAGGGTCCGCGCAGCTCACACAGCCTCTCAGGGAAGTAAACTTTGCCACCTCGCCTCTTCCCCTGCAGGGCTCCACAGGGCCAGAGACAGCCCTCGAGGGTCGGCGGGAAAGGGAAGTTGAGGCGGGCCAGGCTGGGAGGAGAGCGGGCCGCGAGCGCGCACAGTCCCAAGCGCGGTCACGGTCTGCAGCGCGGCCGGAGCAGCTTGCTCGGGCGACCGTTCCTCTGGCGCCGGGAGGGCAGGCCGCGCAGGGCCTACCCCGCCGATTTCCTTCAGTGGCAGATGTTCTGCGAGAGGGACGCACGGCAGGCCACGCCGGAGGCCCAAGGTGAGCGCAGCTCGGGCTCCGAGCTCAGGGCGCATCGTTCCTGCCAAGATGGCCAGGGCTGACCCCGGCCCCAGAGCCCGCAGCCACCCTCCAGGCTGACCTCTCGGGGCCCCGACGCCCAGAGCTGGCTGAACCGGGATCCCACCGCCCCTCGAGGGCAGAGGCGGCCCAGGCCCGGGTGAGGCGGGCAAGAAGACGCCAAAGGCGCCACAGCAGTTGCAAGACGCCGCCCAAGGTCAGGGGTGCCCCAGAGGCGGCCGCCCTCCCTCCCGTGCCCGCGCGGGCCGGGCCTTCTCCCCGCGGAGTCCCACCAGGGCTCGGTGGAGGTGACCGACCGCCGGGGGTCTCGGGTCCCCGAGCACCCCGGGTGGCGCGCCCCCGGCCGTCCACTCCGAACCCGGCGGAGGGCGCGGGACTAGGCCTCGAGCTGCCGGGCTCACGCATAGCCGAGCCGGGAGCCCGCGGCTCCCCCAGCCAAGGAAGGGGTCTGCAGGTAGGGCCGAGGCCGCAGGGGGCCTGCGGCTGCCCCCGGCTCTGCCAGGGGCCAAGGGGAGGACAACCAGGGGGACAGGAGACAGGACTGCAGCTTCCCACCCGACCCCATCCGCGCTGCGGTCCCGGGCCCCGCGGCCTGGGCTGGGGGAGGCCGGGGGGGGGCGGAGGGGGCCGCGAGGGAGGGCCCCAGGCCTCCAGCCGCCGCGCGTCCCCCAGGGCGAGCCTCCCAAGACTTTCCTCCAACTTAGCGCCCGCCAGCTTCGGAGGAGGCGGGGGAGGGAGCGCGGCCCGGGGTCCCCCCCCTCCCCCGGCAGCCCGGGGCGCACGGCCCGCACCCCAGCCCCGCCCACCTGCCTGGGACCCGGGGAGCGGGGGTGGAGAGGGGAAAGGAGAGGCGAGGGCAGCGAGCCCCGTCCCGGGCGGCTCCCTCCTTACCTGCCCTCCGCCGCCGGGCTGCTTCACCATCTACCTCGCGCCCTCACAAAACCCTCCGGGGCGGCCAACCTGTAAGACAGAGCCGCGCAGGGGTTACCCCGGCGGAGGGCCCGGGACCCCGGGTCCCCCTTGCCCCAACTCCCCTCTTCCCGTCTCCAGCTCTTCCCAGGAGCTCGGCGCGTTGCTCCTCCGGGTCTCCCTTCCTTGCACGAATACTTTGTTTGCAAAGTCCCCCGTGCATCTCCTCCCGAGACCTTGGCCTCACCCGGGACTTGGGGGGGTTAGGAGTGGGGTGGGGGTCGAGGGACGGAGTTAGGAGAGGGCTCGCTGCACTACCCGGTGCACCCCGGAGGCGGCGGGGACTGGGGAGCCCGCGCGGTTCCCCGGCGAGCGAATAAATCAAGCGATTTACCTTGTCGGCGCACTCGCCTCGCCCGGCTGTTTAGGTGATTGGAAATGTAGCCTGATGAAGATTGATCACCTTTCTACTGCCCTCCCCGGGTATGTGAACGCGAGGCGAGTGCGTAACAGGCCCGGGCCGCCAATCGGGGACCCGGCGCGGCCTGAGTGACAGCGCGCCGGGCAATGGCAGCGCGAGCCGGGGTTACCTCCGCGCGCCCCCGCCTCCCCCGGCCCGCGCCCCCTCCCTCGCGCCCTCCCTCCCCGCGCGCCGGCCCCGCCCCGGCCGCGCGCTAACTCTGGGGCTCCGGCGGCCGAGTCCGCTCAGAGCGAGCCGAGGAGGGCGACGGCGCGCGCGGGAGTGGCGGGCGCCGAGGGGCCCCGGGCCGAGGGGGCCCCCGCCCTCGCCGCGCCCC